TTTTTTAACAGTGATCGATTTAATGAAAAGAACTGGAAAGTTAACGGTACTCTTTTTTAATTTGAAATCCTTGGCGTTATTGTGTTTCTTCGAATGTACCGGGATACAAACACAAAGTAGTTGCTGAGTGACATAATCATACGAGAGCACGAGAAATTTTTCCTTGTTTTTTTAAGAAGACGAATATTTTACTTTTGCTAAAGGTTATTCAGTTAGGATAGTTACTCTCTGAAAAATTTAGCTGCATTCGACAATCGAGAAAAAGTATATCTTCACACTGTTATCGTTAGTCAGTTGAAGGATAGAAGTCAATGGACGAGAGAAAGTTTGTAGAAGACACTAAGGTGGGAATAAGAGAAAATTGTGGTCGGATGAATGACCTCGTTCCATTTCCATCGTAATTATAAAAGTTTTCTATACAGCAATAAAAAATTATTTTTACAAAAATACAATTTAATCGCTGTAGCATGAAAATGTTCTTGATGAGAGTAGCAGAGTACTAATGAAAAACAAATTATATTATGTCGCCTTATTTTTTTCTCGAATTGTAAAGAGATGAATTCACTCTCTGAATTCCTCAATTCAAGAGAGAGATCAATTCATTTCTTCTCATCTTTCTGGAATTGGAAAAAGATTTCACTTTCTGAATTAAGAAAAAGCTTAACGGTTTTAATTGAGAGAGTAACAAATAAGAAGTCTGATTGTAACCATACTGCGGTGTGGGGCAACGTCGGACGATGAGTGAACTCAACATTGAATCAGCCGCTACAGCGCACTCTGACCCACGCAATTCGAAATCAAGGAATTGATAAAAAGTTACATTTTCAACATTTGTATTCTTTCAATTGAAAAAACTGAATGGTGTCTGAGGTATCTGTCAATTCCTGAATCTTTCTGGAATCGGAAAAAGATGATTTCAGTTTCTGAATTCCTGATGCTAATTCTCAATTTTTGAAATTTCAGAAGTTGAAAAAATACTCGATACTAATTCTTGAATTCTTTCTGCTAATCTTGAGAATTTTATCAATATAGTTCTATGAACTGCCCATCACTCATCTTCCGATGAACCTGCATTAGAGATCACCCATAATGGAGACCAATATTCATCTCGATAGTACTGTTGTTCGATGTGAGGGTCTGTCGTTGGATAAGGAAGAATAAAGCGATGAGGAGTGTTGATTTTCAAAGCTGTTTTACTTCGAAAGGTGGCGAGCAACTAGCATATTACCTTCCGTTATATTAAAAGAAATAGCAATGAGAGAATCTGCGAGCCATTAAGATGACTACTAAAATTAATATTTAACAATTTTTTTATAGACCAAATCACATTTGAGACCTTCGCAAGTATAGAGACAAATTTATTGTAAGTACATACCGATAGTTCACCCAAGTATAGACGGAGTTTATCCTTTGTTAAGTTTAGCAGGCTGTTTAAAAAGCGCACGAAAAATTTTGAAGTGACTATTATGAAGGTTGACATTGACGTCAAAGAGTTTTGGGAAATAGTGTTTTGAATTAGTCACTGCTCAAGTATGCGCTTGTAAGTGAATAAATGTATTATAGTAATGTCTAAATCATATTTTTTCATTCACCAAGTGGAGACTGGTATATGAATTTAAAAGATTGAACTGATTTTAAATCATATTTTAGAAAAAGGGCTTCTGTAGTTCAATTAAAAACATTTATCGATTCAGAGGTGGATATTCATGATGTTATTTATGATAGTGTTAGTGCCTGTGTCGTTGTCGCAAAAGTATTCTGTGCAATGGATTATTATTGTTGTAATAGTGTATCTGTTTTTAAGATGTAAAATCATATTTTTGGAGAAACATCTATAAAAAGGGAAATGCTTCGGTCTTACTAAACGAATCAAATTTCATTTCAAAGTCTTGTTTTATGTCAGGAAAAGAGTTGCATCTGTTGAAAATGTTCTCTTCAAATGTTTCTTAATTTCAACTGGCAACATCTCACGATATGATGAGTTCTTAAAATAAATCTTTATACACGTAAATTACACAAACTTAAGAGATGTATTGCAAACAATTAGAATAGAGCAACGATACAAGTGTCCTCTTCCCTCGTTCATGTGTCGTATTTAAATCCATTTCACGTGCATATGCATGTGTTTTCTCAGCTAAACTTGCCACAGCTCCGAGGCCACAAACATCAACACGATACAGATTGGATACTTCAGATACTAGATGTTGACGATCACGTTCCATTTTACCAAAACATAAGATGCCATCACTAAAAAATCATGAAGTTAGTAGATGAAAAATATAACATGTGTAAGTTGCTTACCGTGATCGACTCCATCGGTAAAATATAAAACTTTCTCTAATATTGAGCTTTTAAAAAATCAAAAATTCTTTTTGATATTGAACTAAAGCAGAAAAAAGAACGTAAGTATCTGACAAACAGAAAAAGAATAAAAAGGAATGTTACAATGTAAAGGTGACCGAATGGGTAAAGAAATCTCATTCGGTGGTTACCAATGTCGTTTTATTTTCGAGAGTTTTTAGACGAAATAATGACATCTGCATTTACTTCGTTAAACGGTATTCTCGATTGCTCGATCAGCAGAGAGAGTAATGAACTTACATTATATTCTGCATCTTGTAACTTGAGTATTTTTTGAAGGCACAAAGCATCGCTCAATACGACAGAACGAGCCTACCACCATTTAATGACATCAATAAAATTGAGGATTGATGACATTCATTATCATCCAGTTTATCAGAAACTGCTTTTGTCATTCTCACATGATGTTCGTTCGGATTTTTCAATTGGATTTCTTTATGATCAGTGTCAAGCCACACCACGTTCTGTTTTACATTCACGACTTGTGGTGAACTGAACTTCCAAACAGATCCAAACAAACACATAGACGACCGTTAGGTATTCTTTGGATAAACAAAGCAAAGAAAAGGAGGCACGGAGTCTAGAATAAATCCAGATATAGTTACGTACAAGGTAATA